ACACCCCCCCCCCCCGTGGCCTGTCTTACAGTGTAAGACCCCTTTCTGGATCTTTACCAACCATGGGCAAGGTAAGGCAAAGCGGGCTGCAAAATTCAGAGATGTTTTCAGCATTTCAAACAAAGGGTGTATTTCAGTTTGGCTATTTCAAATGATAACTTTAATAATAATAATAATAATAATAATAATAATAATAATAATAATACATTTTTATTTATACCCTGCCCTTCCCGGTTCATGAAACCGGGCTCAGGACGGCTAACAACAAATTTAAAACACTTAATTGTAGAAGCAGCATAAACTACAGTATAAAAACATGAATAACAGTAAAATTTCAAAGTTCAGAAATCAATTTGGGGGAAATCCATCTAATAAGCATTAGATAGTCCCCAGGGCGAGCTGGCTGAATTGGTCCTACTTGGGCCAGCGAGGAGGTCAGGGGAGAATTAGCTGTGGGGTCTCAGAGCGGGTGATCTTCATAAAATCATCATCATCATCATCATGCTGCTGCATCCAACTAAGTTCTACTCAAAGTAGAACCCATTTAAATTAATAGACCTAAGCTAGTCATATCCATGTATTTCAGTGGGGCTACTCTACATAGTGAGAGGGACGTGGGTGGCGCTGTGGGTTAAACCACAGAGCCTAGGACTTGCCGATCAGAAGGTCAGCGGTTCGAATCCCCGCAACGGGGTGAGCTCCCGTTGCTCGGTCCCTGCTCCTGCCAACCTAGCAGTTTGAAAGCACGTCAAAGTGCAAGTAGATAAATAGGTACCGCTCCAGCGGGAAGGTAAACAGCGTTTCCATGTGCTGCTCTGGTTCGCCAGAAGCGGCTTAGTCCTGCTGGCCATATGACCCGGAAGCTGTACACCGGCTCCCTTGGCCAATAAAGCGAGATGAGCACCGCAACCCCAGAGTCGGCCACGACTGGACCTAATGGTCAGGGGTCCCTTTACCTTACTCTACATAGCACATGCAAAACATGGCTTGCTTTGGACAAGCACTTCTGAATTCCAAAAAATCCAGGCAGCGCACACCTCTCTATCTTCCGCCTCTTAAGAGAGAGAAGCTGAGTGTTTCCCCCCTCATTTCCTGCAGATGAGAGAGCGACGAGGGCTTCCGATAAGAAGATTTCTCTCAACCAGCGCCCAGAGAACCAGCATGCTTTCTTCTACTGGGAACACGAGGAGATCTATATCGAATCCCTGCGGCAGGAGTACGAAACCATTATATAGAGCCCCCCACTCCTTCAAAAGGCAGTCCGCGGGGCTATGCTTGAATCTCCTGAACCTGCAGTTGCTCACAGAATCCTAGAGTTGGAAGGGACACCAAGGGTCATCTAGTCCAACCCCGCCTGCAATGCAGAAATCTCAGCTAAAGCATCCATGACACATGGCCATCCAACCTCTGATTAAGAACCTCCAAGGAAGGAGAATCCACCACCTCTCGTGGGGGTCCATTCCATTGTTGGACAGCTCATACTGCCAGTTTTTCCTGATGTTTAGTTGGAATCTTCTTTCTTGTAACTTGAAGCCATGGGTTCGAGTCCTGCCCTCCAGAGCAGGAGAAAACAAGCTTGCTCCATCTTCCATGTGACAGCCCTTGAGATATTTGAAGGTGGCTCTCATATCTCCTCTCAGTCTCCTCTTCTCCAGGCTAAGCATACCCAGATCTTTCAACCACTCCTCATAAGGCTTAGTTTCCATACCTTTAATCTTCTTGGTTTCCCTCCTCTGCACACCTTCCAGCTGGTCAACATTCTTCTTAAATTGCGGTGCCCAGAATTGGACACCGTATTCCAGGTGTGGTCTGACCAAGGAAGAACAGAATGGGACTATGTCCCTTGATCTGGACACTAGACTTCTGTTGATGCAGCCTAGAAAAGTGTTAGCCTTTTTTGCTGCTGCATCACCCTGTAGGCTCATGTTAAGTCTGTGATCTACTAAAACCCCTAGATCCTTTTCACATGCACTGCTAGCATGCCAGGTGTCCCCCATCTTATATTAGCGCAGCACGCTTAGATTTGTTCTTTCTTGTTAAGATTCCTGCTCTGTGATTGCAGTCATGGGATTGTTGTCTATCACATGACGGTGTGTGTTTTCATTCCACAGAGTGGGAAGTGATGGAGACAGGATGTTTGTGTTACTGTGTTCCGTGAAGTGGGACTATTGTCCTTTGTTCTTTCTCTCTTTGCTGTCTGATGCTAGAGAGAGAGGTAGCCATGTTGCAGTGCTCCGTGTGTGTTTATATGTAAATAAAGTAGATTAGCCGAAATGCTGAGCAACTGAGTTCTGTTATGCAACTGCGAAATACTCTGCGGATCTGTAAGTGTGATGATGGCACAGTTGCTGTGATGTTCGGGCAGAAGAAAGCTTTTGAAGCTCCCGATCGACCAGTCGGGCATGTGTCTCTGCCAGGGTCCTAATCGAGAGTTGGGGATCCTAACATTCCTTAGTGTAGAACATTACATTTATCCCCACTGAAATTCTTTTTGTTCATTGGGGTCCAGTTCTAATTGGGGTCCAGTTCTCTTATCTGTTAAGGTCACACTGAATCCAGATTCAATCTTCTCCATCCTTGTTGATAAGACTCCTGCAAAGAAATGCTACCAGCTACCAGGAAGCACTTCATCGTTCCGTCACACTCTTGTGTGACCAAGAAAACAGGCTGTGGGGGCGTGGCTATGCAAATCAAGGGGCAAAATGCCCCGGGGAGCAGCAACCTTGATGCTTAGTGCAGTGTTTCCCAACCGGTGTTCCGCGGCACACTAGTGTGCCGCGAGACGTTGCCTGGTGTGCCGCGAGATGTTGCCTGGAGGGAGGCGGGCGAGTCGGGCGGCGAGAGGCGGGGCGGCGGCGGCGAGGAGAGGCCGCCCAGCGCGGGGCTCTCGCCGTCTGCCTGCCTGGCTGCCTGTGTGGTGCTGACGTCATGGGGCTGTAACGTGCCCCACATAGGCACACGCGGGGCGGCGAGCGAGCTCCCTCCCACATCCCATCGCCGCTCGCTTCGGCCGGCCTACTGGGCTGTCGCAGGCGGAAGGCCTGCGCATGCGCGAGGTTTTCGCGCCTTCGGGATTCCCTTCACGCCTTCCTCCTCCCGGGTCCTTGAGAGCGCGGGAAGCGGCAGCGCGAGACCGGCGTTGAGCCTGGTAGGTATTGCGCTTGCCAAGGCAGTCATTTGGGAAATGAAAACTTGCAAAGCAAGCAACCAGTTCAATCTGAAGTACGTGTATGCTTAATATCCTGTATCTGAAACCTGTTCTGCCCCCTCCCCCACACTTGGTGCCATTTTCATCTACACATGCAGCAGAGTAAGTTGACCCAGAATAGTACCAATTCAGATGGCAGATGGGAGAATGACAGTGCTGAATGCTTTCCCATGTAGAACAGTCCCTGCAAATAAAAACCTAGCATATTTGGAAGAGGGATGCTAGCCTAACCATTACCTTCTATGCTGTTACTATTTTTTTATTTTTTTTTACATAAGTATAAAGTGACCTTTCCCCATCTGGCATGGTGGTGTGCCTCGAGATTTTTTTCATGAAACAAGTGTGCCTTTGCCCAAAAAAGGTTGGGAAACACTGGCTTAGTGGATGGGGCTTTTGTGGGGTCACCACCAAATCTGTGTAGACCAGGGGTGCCCAAACTTTTTCTCAAAGAGGGCCAGATTTGATGAAGTGAACATGCGTGAGGGCCAACCAAAGTTGATGAGGTTTTTCTTACAGTTTTCCCCCAAAGTTGATGGGCTTTTTCCCCCGGATTCAAGTTGATGAGCTTTTTAAAAAATTTAACCCCCAAATTGTTGAGTTTTCTTTAGGATTTAACCCAAAGTTGTTGAGTTTTCTTTAGGATTTAACCCAAAGTTGTTGAGTTTTCTTTAGGATTTAACCCAAAGTTGTTGAGTTTTCTTTAGGATTTAACCCAAAGTTGTTGAGTTTTCTTTAGGATTTAACCCAAAGTTGTTGAACTTTTTTTTAAGATTGAAGTTGCTGATCTTTTCTTAGGATTTTGCCCCAGGACATATACTGCCACAGGGGCCTCATTAAATCAACCGGTGGGCCAGATTAGGCCCCAGAAACAGACTTTGGGCATGCCTGGTGTAGACCCGTTCCCTTTTCCCCACACAGGCAAACAACAGCCCAGAACTACTTCCATCCTCCCCTGATGTGGTGCACATTGGGTGCCACTCACCCAACTGCTGTCCATTGCCCTCACACTACTACAATTCCCAGAGTTCCCTGCAAAGAGTAAAAGCACTCTGGGAATTGTAGCTCTGTGAGGAACGGTGTGTGTGTGTGTGTCTCCTAACGACTCTCAGCACCCTTATCAAACTACAATTCCCAAAATTCTTTGGGGGTTTAGTTTAGTTTCCCCACAGAAACTAAAGCTTAATTAACTAGGCACTGAACACAGAGCAGGTCCGCCGCTGCCCGGGTGCAGTTGAAAGTGCTTGGACTACTGCAATGCACTCTACATGGGGCTACCTTTGAAGGTGACCCAGAAACTACAACTAATCCAGAATGCGGCAGCTAGACTGGTGACTGGGAGCGGCCGCCGAGACCATATAACACCAGTCCTGAAAGATCTTCATTGGCTCCCAGTGTGTTTCTGAGCACAATTTAAAGTGTTGGTGTTGACCTTTAAAGCCCTAAACGGCCTCGGTCCAGTAACCCTGAAGGAGCGTCTCCACCCCCATCGTCTAGCCCAGACACTGAGGTCCAGCTCCGAGGGCCTTCTGGTGGTTCCCTCACTACGAGAAGTGAGATTACAGGGAACCAGGCAGAGGGCCTTCTCGGTGGTGGCGCCCGCCCTGTGGAACGCCCTCCCATCAGATGTCAAGGAAACAAACAACTATCTGACTTTTAGAAGACATCTGAAAGCCTGTTTAGGGAAGTTTTAAATGTTTGACGTTTTATTGTGTTTTTCATATTCTTTTGTTAGCTGCCCAGAGTGACTGGGGAATCCCAGCCAGATGGGCAGGGTATAAATAATAATTCTTATTCTTATTATAAAGTCTTTTATTGCAGCCCTTGAGAAACAAGGGCCAGACTCTGGTGCTGAACACCTCCCCATTAAAGGTGGCAAGAGGGTGCCTTATCAGAGAGGCTTCATTTGACGAGGTCCTTCATGTACTTCCATCCATTCTGGGTATATTCACTGGCCCTGGTCGGGGCTACGGAGAGAGCGCCGATTGTCGTCCGAACCCCTGCAGGAAAAAACAACAACAAGAAGAGCAACAAGAAAATTAAAGCAAGAAACTGCAACAGAAAGTTGCAGCATGGACTGATATCCCTGCTCAGAATTCCATTCCCCCACTGCCAGTCAAGTTAGCAATCTGCAGCCACTGAGCATGCTCAGTCCCCATCAAACGCTCTGTGTATCTTTTCCACTCTTTTTCCCCCAGGGGTTTTATGGCAGCCGCGCAAAATTTGGCCACCCTTACCGTGATCTCTGTACAGTCATACCTCTTGTTACGTTCGGTTCAGATTAGGTCTTTTCAGGTTGCGTCCTGCGGCAAACTGGAAGTACCGGAAAGGGTTACTTCCGGATTTCACCGCTCACACAGACACTCAAAATGACATCACGCGCATGCGCAGAAGTGGCGAATTGCGACCCACGCACATGCAGACGTGGGGTGCATTCTGCTCATGTTGCGAACGGGGCTCCGGAACAGATCTCATTCGCAACCAGAGGTACCACCTCTATCAGGGATTTTAAGCATTGGGGTTCAGACCCACTTGGAATTTTCTGTATAACAGGGGTGATCCCGCAGACTGCCTTGCCAGAGTGGTGCATGCTCTAGTTATCTCCCGCTTGGACTACTGCAATGCGCTCTACGTGGGGCTACCTTTGAAGGTGACCCGGAAACTGCAACCAATCCAGAATGTGGCAGCTAGACTGGGGACGGGGAGCGGCCACCGAGACCATATAACACCGGTCCTGAGAGATCTGCACTGGCTCCCAGTACATTTCTGAGCACAATTCAAAGTGTTGGTGCTGACCTTTAAAGCCTTAAACGGCCCGGGGTACCCGAAGAAGCGTCTCCACCCCCATCATTCAGCTGAGGTCCAGCGCCGAGGGACTTCTGGCGGTTCCCTCATTGCGAGAAGCAAAGCTACAGGGAACCAGGCAGAGGGCCTTCTTGGTGGTGGCGCCCGCCCTGTGGAACGCCCTCCCATCAGATGTCAAAGCGATAAACAACTACCTGACATTCAGAAGACATCTTAAGGCAGCCCTATTCAGGGAACTTTTTAATGTGTGACCTTTTAGTGTATTTTTGGTCTCTATGGAAGCTGCCCAGAGTGGCTGGGGAAACCCAGCCAGATCGGCGGGGTACAAATAATAAAATATTATTATTATAAAGACCGAGCATATATCCTCATAAAAACGACATCGTAGCAAGACATGAGAGACGGTTTCCACTTCTATCAGGCCGCAGGGGCAGACTCGCTCAGCGTACGGTTTACCCACATATTTGCCCGGGGGGCAGAAGATAATAGGAATTGACATGCGTCAGGGGTTGAATTAAAAAGCCGTACCTGAGTTCCAGTAGCTGCAGAGAGAGAATTCAGTCTTTGGGACAGCAGGAAGCTGGAGGAATGAAGAACACAAGCAAGGCATATTAAAAAGGCTGGTGGTGCTTTGGAAAACAGCTTGCATTGCAAAAGGTTCTGGGTTCAAGACCTAGGAATCTCTGTTTAGAGCAGGTGTAGGGAACCTGTCAGCCATCAATGCCACTGGATTCCACCAGCCCCAAAGAGCATTCGTGCAATGGTCAGGGATGCAGGAGGCTGCCTGGAGCTCTTCACATGAAGGGCAATGTATAAATTTGTGGGCAAAAGCCTCAGCGCCTAGGGCTTGCCGATCGAAAGGTCGGCGGTTCGAATCCCCGCGGCGGGGTGCGCTCCCGTTGTTCGGTCCCAGCGCCTGCCAACCTAGCAGTTCGAAAGCACCCTCGGGTGCAAGTAGATAAATAGGGACCGCTTTATAGTGGGAAGGTAAACGACGTTTCCGTGTGCTGTGCTGGTGCTGGCTCGCCAGAGCAGCGATGTCACGCTGGCCACGTGACCCGGAAGTGTCTGCGGACAGCGCTGGCCCCCGGCCTCTTGAGTGAGATGGGCGCACAACCCTAGAGTCTGTCAAGACTGGCCCGTACGGGCAGGGGTACCTTTACCTTAATAATAATTTATTAGTTATACCCCGCCCATCTGGCTGGGTTTCCCCAGCCACTCTGGGCAGCTTCCAACAAAACACTAAAATGCAATAACCTATTAAACATTAAAAGCTTCCCTAAACAATAATAATAATTTATTATTTGAATAATATACACACACACACAATTTATATATGAATAAAATAAATACAATACGCTTGTGTTATCGCTTGCTAATTATGCTGTTTTAAACGCACATTTTATACCCGACTTCCTTCAGTAAGGTTTTCTTTTGAAACGTTTAAGATCTTTTTTTTTAAAAAATAAAATATTATCTTTGCTGGGTTAAATGCACATTCTGCAGTTGGACTCCTCTGTCATGCTTCCTTTCGAAATCTTTGGAGTATTTTAGTTTTCTGTCGATTTCTTTGAATACCTTTCGGGCTGCTCGTTCTTCCTCTGCTGCTGCTGCCACCACCAGGTTTGTGGTGTGGTGAACAAGCTTATACTCGAGTCAATAAGTTTTCCAGTTTTTTGTGTGCTAAAATTAGGTGCCTCTGCTTATATTCAGGTCGGCTTATACTCGAGTATATATGGTGTGTGTGTGTGTGTGTGTGCGCGTGTGCGCGCACACACACACACACACACAAAAGTTTGCCTCAAATGCTTTTCAGAACAAAACCAGCCAGCAGTTGTAAAAACAGGCAGGCCTTTTCAGTGGTGACTCCCTGCTTATGGGATGCTTCCTCAAGGAGCCTCACCTGGCGCCATCATTACACAGGTTTAGGTGCCAGGAAAAAACATTCCTTCTTTCATAAAACCTTTCGATTTCAATTATCTATGGGCTTATTGCATGGGTGGGGTGTTTCAATCTAGATTTATTTATTCTTTTTAAGAGAACTGCCTTTTGGATTTATTTATTATTTAAAATGCTGGTTTTAAGGTGCACATACATCAGCTTTTTGCTTAAACTATATGCAAGCCGGTTTGAGTTGCCGGGGCAAAAAAAGAGAGCTAGCAGATACTAAAATTTAATAAATAATCACAATACTCAAGAGGTCTGGGAAAGCACAGTGCAGCCAAACGCTCCCATGAGCTCTTACCTTCCAGCCAAAATATTTCGCCCATTCTTCCACAGCCGGGGGGAGCGCTTCTTGGGCTTTTCGGAGGGCTTGGGCCCCCTCCTCGCCCCCGCTCAGCAAACCTTGGCTGTAAACCACGTAGATGGCTCCCCCTGCCAGGCCGCCTTTGACCAGGAACCTGAGCAGGAAAATCATAGGATCACAGAATTGTAGAACAGTGGTACCTCGGGTTACATATGCTTCAGGTTACAGACTCCGCTAACCCAGAAATAGTACCTCGGGTCAAGAACTTTGCTTCAGGATGAGAACAGAAATCGTGGCGCCGCGGCGCGAAGCCCCATTAGCTAAAGTGGTACCTCAGGTTAAGAACAGTTTCAGGTTAAGAACGGACCTCCAGAACGAATTAAGTTCTTAACCCGAGGTACCACTGTAATAATAAAATAATAATAATAATATTTTTTTATTTGTATCCCGCCCTCCCCGGGCTCAGAGCAGCTAACATCATAAAAACAACACAATATGCATAAAAACAGACATCAATTAATTAATTGTAGAGTTGGAAGGGACCCGTAGGGTCATCCATCCCAACCCCGTGCAATGCCCAATGCGGGGCTCAAACCCACAACCGTGAGATTACCAGATTTTTTTCAATGAATCCGGGGACACTTTTCAACTTCAATAGATTTTGTATGGGGACTGATTTGCAAATCCGGGGACTGTCCCTGGGAAACGGGGACGTCTGCTAACCTTAGATTAAGAGTTTGACGCTCTACCTACTGAACCATCTCAGGAAAGGGACGAGACGGGCAAAAGGCATATAAAGGATTTTGCAGTTGCAACCAGGAGACATTTCAGCCCCACAGAAGGCACAATTTGAGTCTCTCGCTTTCTCTATAGCCGTAGTCTAAGTACGTCAAAGTCTCACACCTCCAGAGGACATAAAATATGAGAAATACAACACTTTGCATGGAAGAGCCAGTTCAGGTCAGAAGCAGTGCAATAGGATTCTTGGGTAAAGTTAATAATGAGTTATTAGTTTTCTTTTTTGTTATGTGTTTTGTGGTCTCCTTTTGTGTTTTAATGCCGCAACCCGCCCTGTGATCTTCGGGTGAAGGGCAGTATAGAAATTTAATAGATAATAATAATAAACTTCCTTCCTCAGCGGGAGGGGATGAACTCTGCATATGCTCAGAGGCACCAGAGAATTTGCTAACAAAGGGCAGCCAAATGTCAAAGAAACTTGTGTTGGTCACGGGACAGGCAGAATTCCAACAGGTAAAGCTGCTTCCTCTTCTGTAGCCCATAGACACAATGAGAGGGACTGATTTTTTTTGGGGGGGGCACTGTGTTAATAGGCAGAGGGCAGCCCTGGAAAGAGAGGGGGCAGGTGCAAAATAAGCCCCCAGATCATGGGCGTAGCCGGGGGGGGGGCAGAAATCAATAAAAATACATAGCAAAATGAGGTTCTGCGCCCCTCAACAAAAACCCTGGCTATGCCACTGCCCCAAATAAATTATCAAGCTTCTGTACAACACTCAGAACAGGTGGAAATTGAATTAATAATAATAATAATAATAATAATAAAGCCACTCTGGGCAGCTTCCAAAACAATATTAAAATACAGTAATGCCTCAAACATTAAAAACTTCACTAAACAGGGCTTCCTTCAGATGTCTTCTAAAAATTTGGTATTTTTCTCTTTGACATCTGGTGGGAGGGTGTTCCACAGGGCGGGTGCCACCACCGAGAAGGCCCTCTGCCTCGTTCCCTGTAACTTGGCTTCTCGAAGGGAGGGAAGCGCCAGAAGGTCCTCGGAGCTGGACCTCAGTGTCTGGGCAGAACGATGGGGGTGGAGACGCTCTTTCAGGTCTACTGGACCAAGGCCGTTTAGGGCTTTAAAGGTCAGCACCAACACTTTGAATTGTGCTCGGAAAAGTACTGGGAGCCAATGTAGGTCTTTCAGGACCTGTGTTACGTGGTCTCGGCGGCCGCTCCCAGTCACCAGTCTAGCTGCCGCATTCGGGATTAGTTGCAGTTTCTGGGTCACCTTCAAAGGTAGCCCCACATAGAGCGCATTGCAGTAGTCCAAACGGGAGATAACCAGAGCATGCACCACTCTGGCGAGAGAGTCTGCAGGCAGGGAGGGTCTCATCCTGCGTACCAGATGGAGCTGATAAACAGCTGCCCTGGACACAGAATTGACCTCCACCTCCACGGACAGCTGTGAGTCCAGAATGACAGGCAGCTTTCTGCAAGGATTCCTGGGGTCTGTCGTTTGTTAAGGATGCTCTGCGAAGGGAAAACTACAGTTCCCATTATTCTTTGGGCAGAAGTCCTGTGCTTTAAATGTGGGCTGTGGATATGACCCGTGGGGTTCTTCTTTAATTATAATTTTATAATAATATTATTTGTACCCCATTCATCTGACGGGGTTGCCCCAGTCCCTCTTGGGTGGCTTCCAACATTTACAAAAACAGAATAAAACATTAAACTTTTTCAGCAGGGGGCCGGTCCACTGTCCCTCAGAACTTGTGGGGGGCCGGACTATATTTTGAAGGGGGGAAATGAACAAATTCCTATGCCCCACAACTAACCCAGAGATGCATTTTCAATAAAAGCACACATTCTATTCAAGTAAAAACACGCTGATTCCCGGACCGCCTGTGGGCCGGATTTAGAAGGCGATTGGGCCGGATCCGGCCCCCTGGCCTTAGTTTGCCTACCCATGCATTAAACATTTAAAGGTTTCTCTATGCAGGGCTGCCTTCGGGTGTCTTCTAAGGCAGTGTTTCCCAACCTTGGGCCTCCAGCTGTTTTTGAACTACAATTCCCATCATCCCTGACCACTGGTCTTGGTAGCTAGGGATAATGGGAGTTGTAGTCCAAAAACAGCTGGAGGCCCAAGGTTGGGAAACACTGTTCTAAGGGTTATATAGTTACTGATCTCCTTGACATCTGACGGGAGGGCATTCCCAGGGCGGGCGCCACTACCAAAAAGACCCTCTGCCTGGTTCTCTGTAACTGAGAGTCAATGTAGGTCTTTCAGGACCAGTGTTATATGGTCTCGGTGGCCACTCCTAGTCCCCAGTCTAGCTGCTGTATTCTGGATTAGTTGTAGTTTCCGGGTCACCTTCAAAGGTAGCCCCACGTAGAGCGCATTGCAGTAGTCCAAGCGGGAGATAACCAGAGCATGCACCACTCTGGCAAGGCAGTCCGCAGGCAGGTAGGGTCTCAGCCTGCATACCAGATGGAGCTGGCGAACAGCTGCCCTGGACACAGAACTGACCTGCGCCTCCATGGACAGCTGTGAGTCCAAAATGACTCCCAGGCTGCGCACCTGGTCCTTCAGGGGCACAGTGACCCCAGTTAGTATTTGCCAGTTACAGTTAGTTTTTGCCAGTGAAATGGGAGGGGCTGTTTGGATCCAACAGATTGCGGTGGAAAGAGCTCAGAGAGACGTATTTTGCAAAATGTGATCCCTTTTGGTATCAGGATTTGATGAAATAAACATTAAGACACCAACATTATTACCCCAAGAAAAATCAGAAGAATCTTTATTTGCATCAGCCTCAAGCCACAGCAACCAAAGAAGGAATAAAAGCTGCTTTAATATTTCTGGGCACCAGCATATCGAAATGCACAGGGAGGAGGTTTTTATTTCATTTTAAAAATGCACATTTCAGCTCAGGACATGCCAAAATAAAATGGGGGTGGAACAGAAGGGTTGTTCCTTTTCTCTTTTTTGGCTGCTGGGATTTGCAAAAAAGCTCCAAAAGAACCAGGAGGCATTTCCCACCTGATCATGCTTGCTCCCCATTGAACGTAAGGAGAAAAAGAAATTAAAACAGAAAGAAATCAAAGGAGGCCCGCCCGCCCGACTCACTTGACAATGGGGAAGATGCGGGGAGCCATGACTGGGCGACGTCTCCGCGCGCGGCGCAAGGGCAGCTCGGCGCCCGCCCGCGCCGTTTCCAGAGAACCCCGCCAGCCAGAGAGCGAGCGACGCCTCTCGCGGGACTTTTCGGGAATTGTAGTCCGAAGGCGGGCGAGTCACATGCCCTCCCACTGAAAGTCCGCTCTAGCCTTGCGACTCGTTGGTTGCACCTCCAACTCAAGGTTTTTCTTTCTTTTTTTCCCAAAGATATTTATTAAAGTTTTCAATTTTTATACAAACAAAAAGCAAAAAGCAAAAAAAGAAAAATATTAAAAACACATAAATTTCACAACTTCAACTCAAGGTTTTTCTTGTTGCTTAAAGGGAGAGAAAGGCGCTTGGCAGCCTCTGTGTTTTGCGTTTTTTAAAAAAAATTAAATTTATTCGGGAGTAAGTCCCAAACATAAGCATCTGCCCGTTTTTTATTTTGCAGATTTAGTAGGGGTTTTTTTTTGGGGGGGTGGGTGTTGCGGATCATGCTGCAACATTTTGTTGCAGTTCCCGCTCATTGGAAAAAGTCCCCACCAGGGAAGAATGGAAGATCAGTTTGATGGACTATGCCGAAATGGCCAAAAATGACCGGAAGAATCAGAAATCAGGAAGACCAAAATTTTAATAAGGAATGGAGGAAATTTATAACTTGTCTTAAAAACCATTGCAAACAGTTAACAGGACTGGAATATCACTGTACCTTGGGTTACAGACGCTTCAGGTTACAGACGCTTCAGGTTACAGACTCCGCTAACCCAGAAATAGTACCTCGGGTTAAAAACTTTGCTTCAGGATGAGAACAGAAATCGCGCGGCGGCGGCAGCGGGAGTCCCCATTAGCTAAAGTGGTGCTTCAGGTTAAGAACAGTTTCAGGTTAAGAGCGGACCTCCAGAACAAATTAAGTACTTAACCCGAGCTACCACTGTAGTTTAATGGTAAATTTTAGACACGACAGAGAAGGTAGAAGATTTTGGATCATCATAAAAGATGAAGGAAGAAATGATTAACGATAAGACCCACAAAGGGGAAGAGGGAAGTCTAAGAGATTCTTCGGAATCTTCTTTTCATGATGAATGTTCGATGTGCGACTGTAAAATTTTAATTTGAAAAAAACAAATAAATTATATATAAGGGACGTGGGTGGCGCTGTGGTCTAAACCATTGAGCCTCTTGGGCTTGCCGATCAGAAGGTCGGCGGTTCGAATCCCTGCGACGGGGTGAGCTCCCGTTGCTCGGTCCCTGCTCCTGCCAACCTAGCAGTTCGAAAGCACCTCAAAGTGCAAGTAGATAAATAGGTACCACTCCGGCGGGAAGGTAAACGGCGTTTCCGTGCGCTGCTCTAGTTCTCCAGAAGTGGCTTAGTCATGCTGGCCACATGACCCGGAAAAACTGTCTGTGGACAGACCTCTGCTCCCTTGGCCTGAAAGCAAGATGAATGCGCAACCCCAGAGTTGTCCAACGGTCAGGGATACCGTTACCTTTACCTATTTAGAGTGGTACCTCAGGTTACAGACGCTTCAGGTTACAGACTCCGCTAACCCAGAAATAGGACCTCGGGTTAAGAACTTTGCTTCAGGATGAGAACAGAAATCGCGCAGTGGCAGCAGCAGGAGGCCCCATTAGCTAAAGTGGTGCTTCAGGTTAAGAACAGTTTCAGGTTAAGAACGGACCTCCGGAACGAATTAAGTTCTTAACCCGAGGCACCACTGTATATAAAGAAAAAGCCGCTTACAAAATAAGAACAATCTGAACGGGCCTGTGTTTCAGGGAAGGTCCAAGACAGGCATCCCCAACCTTCAGCCCTCCAGATGTTTTGGACTACAATTCCCATCATCCCTGACCATTGGTCCTGTTAGCTAGGGATCATGGGAGTTGTAGTCCCAAAACATCTGGAGGGCCGCAGGTTGGGGATGCCTGGTCCAAGGTGACGTTGCATCAGTCTAACCCACCCCAAATGGTCAGGTTGTTGGGTCTCTGGGGTGGTTTGTCCCAGGGGGCCAGAGAGGCAAGCAGGGGGCCGGTTCAAAGGCGGAGCCTGAGAGATGGATGGAGAGGCCCCCATCCCACAATTTTAACAAGTCCTCCCTCTTTTTCCCTGTTATGTACTGAGTTGAATAGGATCCAAACTGCAGCAGTCTTATTGGTCCTAGAACAATAGGATCCAAAAGGCAGCAGTCTGATTGGTCCTAGAACAATAGGATTCAGAATGCAGCAGTCTGATTGGTCCTAGAACAATGCAGCAGTATGATTGGTTGGCAGGAACTACCCACTCATGCTCCAGATAGAAGTGAATCCACAACCTGATTGGCTTACAGTAGAATTCCGGAATTAGCCAATCATGTGCAGCCCATTGTGTAAATAATGTATATAAAGCAGATACTTTGAGGGGACATGCATTCATTCCTCCTCACCACTATGAGCTGAATAAAGAGCATGAAATTACTTTGCGACTCTGAGTATATTTCATTCCCCAAAAGCCATATAAGATCACTTCTGCCACCACCATCACGTGGTGCCAGAATCCGGCCCGATTCACATGCAGCACAGCACAGAGACAAAAATCTCCGTGGAAGGAGCTCCTCCAACGCTCTTCTAGAAGTTTCCACTGGGAGGCCGGGATAGCGCACGGCTGCCGCCACCTTGTGGCCGTCAGGAATAGCAGCTAGAACTTTAAAACTGGATTTTAAAAAAAAAAAATACATTTCACACTACTGACATGCACATTCTTAACTCTTGGTTTGCAGGCCACAAGTTTATTATTATTTCAAATTAGCACATTGGAAAGGAAGGCAGGTTCCTTCTCGGTCTTTTCCTCTGCACTTAAAACAGCCATTTTATAGGATCGGCTGTGATTATTTTTAGATGCGGCCCTCGTTTTATTAGGGAACTTAGCCGTTTCCTGGCATATCGGGAAGAATTGGTATGCTGGGATATGCAAATTGCGATTCAATGGCACCCACGGATCAAATTCCAACGAAGAGCGCAATCCCATTGGACACAGTAGCTAAGCGTGCTCATTGTATTAGTTGTCTTATAATAATTTTGCCCTGGTTTTCTAGCAAAAGGGGGGGGGAGACTCCCAGAGTGGCTTGCAAAGGTCAGTAGCAAGGCAGCTCCTGCAGTCTAAAAGGCTTGTGGTCTTTTTTCTTTATTTAAAGACACAACAGACGAGGAAAACGAGAGGAGGAGGGAGGAGGAAAATGCAAACACAAGGCACCAGTGCTTAAACTTTCGCGGGGGTCAGCAAACTTTTTCAGCAGGGGGCCGGTCCACTGTCCCTCAGACCTTCTGGGGGGCCAGACAATCCTGCGAACGGCTTTGACTGGCCGGCTAAACCAGGCGAGGGTCTCAAGCCCTCAGTGAGTTAGGGGCTTCCCCTGCATGTGAAGACAGCCTCTGGCAGACGGAATGGACGAGACCCAGAATGGGTCCAACGGTCAGGAAGGCGGTTTCTACCTGTGCTGCAGAGGGAAGCGAGGGGGCCGGTGGGGCTCGTCCACCTGGGAAGGGAGCCCATCTAGAAGAAGGAAAACTCTGATCCCAAACCTCCACTGTCTTGCAGGATATCTTTGGGAGAAGAAAAGGCTCAGGAGTAAAACTTACACAGATCTCGTTAAGTTGTCTGATACGTTCACCCACAACTTAACACTGGCGACGAGGATGGGATGGATGGACATCAGAGCACAGCCAGATGCAGCCACCCTCTGAGCAGAGCTGAATCACTGAGCGGAATCACTGGACAGAACCAATTCAGAGCTGACTGTCCTGGCTAGAGCACTGTGTTCCATCCATCGCCCTTCACGCCGGCATCGGAATCATGGGTTCACTCGTGCCTCTACCGCCGTTTGCGCCAGCCTCTGAATCATGGGACTCCTACCTCGCTCGGTTCGACTGCTACAGGTGCAACCAGTGGCGTAGCGTGGGGGGTGCGGGGGGGGGGGCCGGCCGCACCGGGCGCAACATCTGGGGTTAGGGCAAATCCATGGGTTAGGGGGCACAAATCCACAGGTTAGGGGGCGCAAATTACTTGCCTTGCCCCGGGTGCTGACAACCCACGCTACGCCGCTGGGTGCAACCAATGCTTGGGCCATCTCAAACACCTCAGGCCCACAGAGGCTGAGGAATAGGCCCCGCTTACGCTCCTGTGATACTTCTGTCAGCTCGTTGGCTTGGAGGTAGCAGTCGAACCGAGCGAGGTAGGAGAACAGTCAGCTCTGAATTGGTTCTGTTCAGTGATTTCGCTCAGTGATTCAGCTCATCTCAGAGGGTGGCTGCATCTGGCTGTGCTCTGATGTCCATTGATCCCATCAGACGACACAGCGATTTCTCCAGAGCAGCTCTTTATTTGTAAGCTGGAGCAGAACTGAACGGCAAGCAGCTCAGCCGGCCTGCTTTTATAGGCAGCCGGCTGTCAACATTGTAGCAACAACAACCCAGGGTTTCCCGCCTAAAGTAACTGATGTGGACCTGAGTGAAAACTATACACACGATACTCCTGGTGGCCAGGGGGAGAACTTCAATACATAACAGATCTACAGTGGAGTCCCTAAGGCGCTTTGCACTCCTCCTTCCAGCCAAGCTGGTGCCCAACATCTTGTTCTGTTTTCCTTTGGACCACAGTAACGGCGTGCGTTACTTCCGGGTTTCGCCACTTGCGCATGCGCAGATGCTCAAAATGACGCCACACGCATGCACAGAAGCGTCAAAAAGCGACGAGCGCGTGGGCAGACGCGCCGTCGCTAGTTAACGTTTACCTCTAGATGCGAACAGGGCTCCGGAATGGATCCCGTTCGTATCTAGAGGTACCAACTGTAATGCTTCACTGCCAAAGGCACCCTCCATTGTCCCTCAAGACAGATGGGTGCCTGATGGATTTTCTGTAGGGCACCCAATGTAGGGTGGTTGTACATGCTCGAAACATCCCTTGTGGGTGAACGGTTGTGTTTCGCCTCTGCGCGGGCTCCGTCGGCTTTGCGTATTTAAAGACCACAAATCCTCACGAAAATCCATCAGGGTGCGACTTTCTCCCCAGCTGAGAAAGTGCACAGAGGCGCTGCGGTCCTTAATTTTACATTTACCCCCC